CACCTCCTAAAGTTCAAGAAGACTTTTCATTGGTTGACAATGGCGGACAAAAATTCTTCGGTATTTCACCCACCACCCGCACCGCACTTCTGGCCAATGAATGAAGAAGAATTATGCTATATATACTTGTGAATCTTTGTATGAGAGGGAGAGAGAGAGCACTTTTGGAAGAGTTTTTCATAGTTTTTTTGCTTAGTTTAGACGTTGAGTTTGTAAACATCCATTTTTAAAGCTTTGTCGGGTGTCGGAGAAGAAAACTTGTATCCATTCCAAAGTTATGTTATCTTTGCATTTGAACTTAGCGATTAAGAAGCAATCATAGAGTAAGCATTTCCTTTAAACTAGTTGTTCTTTTACATATGTTTGCTATGTTGTTTATTGCTGATTTCAGAATTATGAGTTTTGTTTCTGGCGAAGTTTTGACGCAATCCAATGGATGATTCTCATCCATAATCAAGCTTAGTGACTCTTTAATGGTTTCTAACGGATAAAATGTTTGGTAGAGAGAAAAAACTAATTTTGAATATTAGTTGTTAAGTAACTACTTAGATTTCCCGTCGACGGTTCATTTGACACGAGTAATGCTTAGAAATCATTTACATAATCTAAGTGCTTATTATTCTAGACTTTCTAGTTTCTATTTTTTATCTTAAAAATTACAATAATATGCAACTTGATTTTTGTTGAATATTATCTATTCGAGCGCGTTTGAATACCACCTTGGATGAGTTAAAATGGTGAGTCACAATGTTTGATTATGGTGAGTTAATTCATGAGGATTAGTCGACTGTTTTCTTACTAGTTTCCAACAACAAGAATTCATCTCTCCAATATTCCATCAATCAAAAGATTTTTACTTTTGATTGCACACACATCACCAATCAAATACCATTTATTCCTTGAGGACACGACCTTAGAATTGTCCAAGTTACTACACTACATAATTTTCCTATGCTTGGAAAGCCCATTGTTATATTCAAAGAAGGAATGATTCACAAAAGAGAGTCAAGTATTTTTTGGCGTCATTGCTGGAGAATGACAGGTCTATTTGAAAGGTGATTTGAACAAATGTCAAGTAAGTCTTGTAATTTTCATTACAAGTTCAAGTACGTTTTTCCACTATGAAAATGAATTGTAAAATTGTTCATAAAGTAGGCACGTGATTGCCTAAGTTTGAGAAATTGCTAACAATTAAGAAAAGTAATGTACCATCTACTATTCAGCCACCAACGTTGGAGTTGCAGCCACTACCAAATACCTTGAAGTATGCTTTCTTGGGGAGTGGTAAGACATTTCCGGTGGTGACCAATTCAATGAAAATCCAAAGAAAGAAGAAAAGTTATTGAATGTCTTACGAGCACATAAAGGAGATATTGGCTAGCGATAGCAAACATCAAGGAGATCAATCCCCTTATCTGTACACATCGAATATATATGGAAAATGATGCTAAATCGTCCCGACAACCATATAGAAGATTGAATCTCATAATGAAAGACGTAGTTCTGGCTACGATTCTAAAGTTGCTTGATGTGAGAATTATTTACCCTATTACAGACAATAAGTGGGTGAGTCCTATTCAGGCGGTGCCGAAGAATTTGGGGGTTACCATTATTGCCAATGAAAACAAGGAGCTAATTCCAACTCGGGTGCTAACTGGGTAGAGAGTTTACATTGATTATAGAAAGCTCAATTCCTGTACCCGAAGGATCACTTCCCATTGCTCTTCATTGATCAAGTTTTGTAAAGGGTGGTAGGTCATTTATTCTACTGCTTCTTGAACGGATATTCAGGTTACAATAAAATTGAAATTACATTAGAAGATAAGGAGAATATCACTTTTACTTGTCCCTTCGAAATATTTACTTATAGACGTATGTCATTTGGGTTGTGTAATACCCTAGGAACGTTCCAAAAGTACTTGGTGGAAATTTTTAGTGATATGGTGAAAAAGATTATGGAGGTATTTATGGATGATTTTTTGGTGTTTGGAGATTTATTTGTTAGATTTTTTAGAGAGTTTGGAAAAGGTATTAATGAAGTCTGAAGAGAAGAGTATGGTACTCAATTGAGAAAAATATCATTTTATGGTAACTGAAGGAATTGTTTTGGTCATATTGTTTCTACAAAAGGGATAGAGGTCGACAAGGCACAAGTTGAGTTAATTTTCAATCTATCTACCCCGAAAACGATAAAAGATGTGTATTCATTTCTTGGTCATGACAGATTCTATAGGAAATTCATAAAGATTTTTAGTGTCTTTGCACTTGATAAATTTAGATCTTATATCATTGGTTCACCTATTGTTGTCTATACTGATCACTCTCCTTTAAAGTATTTGTTGTCTAAGTAAGATGTGAAACCGAGATTGATTAGGTGGATCCTTCTACTACAAAAATTTCATATGATAATTAAAGATAAGAAAGGAGTTGAGAATGTGGTAGCAGATCATTTATCTCGGCTTGTGTTTCAAGACAGGCTGGAGCATTCTCCCATTCACGATACTTTTCGCAATGAATATTTTTTTTTGTTACTACATCTTATCCTTGGTATGCTAACATTGTTAATTTTCTTGTTACAAGACAAATACCACCTCATTAGAGTCTAGAAGAAAAAGAAAGTTTTTGGTGGAAGTGAATAAATTTTTCTTTTATAACCCTTATTTGTTTAAATACTGTGCTGACCAAGTGACGAGAAAATGTCAAACTTATGGCGAGCAACAAGATGTTATGTCTTTCTTCAATTCAAAAACAGGTTCGGAACATTATGAAGCATCATTAGAGACTTATAGGTCTCCAAATGGTCAAGTGGATCCTTCGTTTCGTTGAAACTTTCGATCGTCGGCATCTTAAACCATTCCGTGAGTGGGAAATTAGACACGTTCGAGGTGAAATGTGACTTTCTTATGCTGTACTAGAGCCTCCAAAACCTCGAGGACCCGGGCCTTCATAGTATTTATAACATTTCCGAGCTTCTCGTTGACCTCCTGGAATTTTCTTTCCCACTAGTCATTAACTTTTGAGCAAACAACCTCATTTTAGCTTAACTCTTCATTCTGGTTTTCTCCTTTATGCTCCCTAATGTGGGACTGATCTCTTTTCAAGAGTTGAAGGATTTGCTAGTTTTGATGCTTTAACTCCTCCACCACTTTTTTATAACTTTTCGTTTCATCAATTCTTTATTTTATGGTGCTTCGTCCCACCATATGGGAGCTTGTATGCTCATGAGGATGAATCTGATGCGACTCTGGTTCCTTCGATCGAGTGATAGCCATGAGACCTGAGGGTTTGTGATATTGTAAACGCAATTGTCATTCCCACAGACGATGCCAACTACTGATCCTAGAATCTGTTCACCGAGATGGATGGCTAGAGTTATTACTTGGCAACTAGCAGGAGTTTTCCTACAAAAGATGTCGAAGGCCAGAGGGACTTCGACAGTCGACCCTCCAATGGTAAAGTCAAGCAAAAATGATGAAAAAATACTATATTTAGCTGAGAATAGATTACTTACCCAGATGATCCATAGCTTGGCCCTTATATAAGTCAGAAGATTGTACCGTTGAAAGATCTTCAACTGTTATTTGAATAGAGCGGCACTAAAAGTAAAACAGAAGCAGACACATTCTAACGTGGTATCTCAATTAGTTTGAATTAGTTAAGATGAACCAAGTTGAGGAACTGCCGAGCTGGAGTGTTGGTGATTAAGAATCTAAGGTCCTTGCTGAGTCTAGAGCTCACCCATCAAGCATCATGTGCTGAGCTTGAGCCCATGTGCTCAGCTCGTGCATAATTTATCATCATTAGAACATAACATATCCTAAATAAAGATGTGATTCCTTTGACACGTCCACATAATAGAAAAGCATATTAAGAAAGTACCTCAAGGTACAAGCATCACATACATAGTTCAAAGAAATTGGTTGAGATGCAATACGACTCGGTCAGGTCGTATCCGATTCGGTAAATCGTGAGTCTCACTGGAATCATGAGTTGTATCCGACTCAGTACTTTCCGTTACGATACCGTTTTACATTCAGTGTAAATCATGAGTCTTAGTCAACTCATGATCGACTTAGAGACGTCTCAGGTGATTTGGCCGAATAGTAAGAGTCATCATCATCGACTTGCACCATATTGCATGATTCCATTTTGTGATTCCGCAATATATACTGAATCCCTCTCCATGGACAACTTCTTCTATCCATCATTTTGTGTCTATCGTCCGATACTGTTGCACAATGCTGTAACCGGTGCCCTTCGAATCGATGACCGATACCATTGCCTCGAACCATGATCAAATATGCCTTATCCACAAAGTTTTGGAAATAGAGAGAGTGGATTTCAAAGCTATTGTTTATAGAGCATAGCCTGTCAAACAAAAATAAATCCAGGTATGACTCAAGTGTTTTGAGAATGTACCTACACAGGCATTTAATAAACTAGGATCTGTTCCTTTTCATAAAGTTCTATGGGCAAGTAACCAACCATATGTGTCTGGGGGGAACAAATCTATAGCATAATCCTTGCATGTCTTGTCCAATTCAGAACCATATCCGTGTCTTTCCAAATGGATCACCCAAACTCAAAGTGTAGGGGTGGAGGTTGGGGTGGGGGTAGGCAGTTTAAATGCCAATAGCATCAGTAGGTTCTTAATGGAAAACTGACCAACTATATCTTTGCTGAGAAAATATTCCATATTTGTGATGATTCCAAGTCTTTGCCCATATCCTGCCTGACGAAATAGTTTACTTAAAACAAAGAATTATCTAAGCTTAGGATTTAAATTTGTTCATCTGATCAATTAGGGGGGAAAAGGAAGATGAAGAAAAAAAAGGGTTCTACATCAGTAGCTGAATACTATAGCCACAAAATAACCCTGTATTGCCATCCAGTGATAGCGTATAACACCACAATTGTCAATAGCAAAGCACTGGTATTTCATTTTTCCTTAAGTGAAGAGTTCTAATGTGAATTTTTGTCACGAGTAAAAATATTGACGTACCTTGTTCCGGATGACCTAAGTGATCCTGAGGCTCGAGAAAGCATCATTTTTGTGCTTCATCTGCATCAACTGCTTTTGATGCTCTACTCGCTGAAGCTGCGATGACAGTTGGAGCAAATCAATAGTGGGCTCATCATTGCAAGAAAGATGATCCTTGCCATTTATGTATTCCGACCTTTGGAAAATCTCATCCATTCCAAAGTTGACAGCATTAGTACCATCAGAGATGAGTATGGGATCTAACTGAGACTCCTCAACAGAACTTATCCCAGATGAATGAATTTTACTTGTCTCTCCCATTCCTGACGTCTGCACGCTCACTCCCAGGAACTTCTCAGAGACTGCTGTTTGTCTATAATGAGCATGGCCACCTGGGATGATCAGGGAATGAACCATGGGAATTCCTGATGAATGACTCGAAGAATTGTGAGTTTGAAATGACAGAAGAGAGAGAGCACGACCAGAGTCTGAAATCTCTGATTGCCCGTGAACAGTTGCTGCTGAGTTGAAAAAAGAAAACCCCTCACTTCCTATTGAGCCGTTCTGAACCAAAGAACGAGAGATAAGGTTTGAGCCCCCATCACTGTTCTCACTAAATTTGCTTCCTGTTGTAGTAGTAATTCCATTGTCATGAAAGGGGAGACATTGTTTGTCAAAAGCAGAAGAATGGAAAAGCGACATTGATTGCATGTGTTCATTTGTGACAGGAATCGCTGATGGACTATAATCAGCCACATTTTCAACTTTTATATGCCTGCGCCAATCATTCATCTCATATTTCTGTGGATGCAGGAGGCTGCTGGGAAGTAAACCTCGGCTATTGAATGATGATGTTGTAAATGCTGTCCCCTGGAATCTGATCCCAGCAGAATCTGAACAATGTTCAAAGACAACAGTAAATTACAGTTTCCAGCAGCCGCAATAGGACATATTTGATGAATTAATAATGCTACCATAGAGTGTTCTTTTGGATGCCCAAAACTCGCAGCATATTTGGGAAAAAAATTCTGTCAGACACATGTATATAGGTGGGCATATATGTATATAGGTGGGCATGGTGCAATATATATTTGGGAAAGTCTTATCACAAGACATGGTGCAACACATATTTTACACTTGTGATAAGACTTTCTCTAATTGCCTAAACTCATACCAGATTTCTGTCAGACACATGTATATAGGTGGGCATGGGTTGACAGGAGCATGACATGCCAATCATTACTAAGAAGGTTCATCCTATAAGAAGCAGGATGCATCTGTGAGACTATGTGGAACATCCATGTGTGTGTATATATCACCTTGTTTTCGAAGCCACATACAATACTTTTTCCCTGCAATGTGACGCTATAGCCTTTGAAACATTATCTGTTGTAATTTTTCAACATGACACAATAATTCAGTGCTTGTTTGTTTGACCACATGAATTGAATGGTAAGAGCACCAAAGATGCAGATTGCAAAAGAAACCATCATCCTCCTACTACTGCAAAATAGAAACGGAAAATTCTATTCGGGTTCAATTGCCCATTTGGAGACTTAGCTTCTCCTTCATGTTGGCAAAGCAAACTACTAAAACATAGGTGTATTTTATTGAAGGAGGATCGTTCCAGTTCATGCACAAGTAAATAAAGTACTTAATGAAGTCCAGTAGTTATTTTCCAAAATACAAAATAGATGTTCAAGAATAAATTGGAAGAACCAAGACACTAGATCTGCTTGTTCCACCCTGATCCCATTGACTAATAGACTTTAGAGGTCAAAACGATTTTCCCCAAGATATAAAAGCATACAAAGATTTTATTTCTATTCCTCAATTATATCTCCAATACAAGTCTCTGACATCTAGTAAAACACTCAAACCTTAGGAAAACAAGGTCCCTGTTTATCCAATTTTGGAATGTTAGTTGATTGACTCCATTACTTTTATTGAGGTAGTAACTGCATTCAGATGCCTAGTTTGGCAATGAAAATAACGCTGTCACATTAATACATAATCATAAATGGCAAGGCTGTCAGATATGCAAAATTTAGTCATAAACTAAACAGTTTAATCCAATAAAGAAGGAAGTGTGCCAAATAAAAGAGGTTTATTCATTACCACTATAGGGCTGAAACAGCTTCGCAGTTCTGCCATAGTGAATACCCCCGTGGGGTTTCCTTCGACGTTCATTGTGGCCTGCAAGACGTTTACGGCAGCTGCGCTTACCATCATCAAATTCAACCAGCAAGTGAAATCTGTACGGAAAGAATATTGTACACATATGTCATATTAGGAACAAAAATCACGTTACTTCTTACTGTTCCAGGCTTGGATTGACAAGGTTAACTTTCATGATTTTCAATAAAAATGTGCTGGCTTACATCTGATTGACATTTATTGTGGAATGACAGATAAATGCTATTTATCATGTAAACGAAATTTAAAATTGGAAAAGTTATGTGGAGTTGCCTGTTCAAAACATCTCCAATTTCTTCATATATTTTCCCATGTACTCGTTTCAGAAATACAGTGTAAAAAGGTGGATGACTAAAGGATCAAAAACGAACCTGCTACATTGCTGACAAAACCTTTGTTCAATGCCATTCACAATGACTTTGGCAGTCTTTGAGTGAACTTCACAAACTTTATGCCTCTTATGATAATCTTTAGAGGAGCTAAGATCTTTCCTACACCCATAAACTTGGCAAAAGTGGGTTGAAGAACTCAAACCCCCTGACCGCACTCTCTTTGCTGGTATAGATGACTCAGCTGAAGACAAATTGGGGGTTGCCTTACAGGAGTTGAAATTTTGGGCCTCACTATGATCAGCCAACCTCCCTAGCTTCAAATCGATGAATGATGAGTCCTCACCATTAGACTCCACAACTGAGCTTGATAGCTTAGAACTTGAATCTTCTTCCCCAGAAAATGCATTTGTCATAGCTGTAACTGAAGTCAGCATTCTTCCCCCAAAGATTGAGCCATTGGGCAAAGATTTTTTCATCATCTCTGGAAAACCCAATTCAACAAATCCCTGATTCTTAATAGGCTCTTGACTTGAGATTACCATATTACTTCCAAAGCAACTTGGGTTTTTCAATTCCCAACCTATCAACTCATTTTTATCTCTTGGAATACCATCAGCAGATACAGATTCCTCAGATGCAAACCCCGTACCCCCAGAAACAAAGCTCCAAGACTCCATTAAACTCATATATGACGGAATCACTCCCTCAAAAGGTTACATCTGAACCCAGAAAAACACTAAGCAAGAAAGCTACTTGCCTTCTACAAAATATCCAAGTTGACTTGTCATCTCAAAAGCCTCAATTGAATTCATCAACCTATGAATAACCAGGACGATTTTCCTTATAAGCATAAAACCCACTGAAACTTACTTAAAGACTTCAATTTGAATAACTACCCTCAAATAAATCACAACAACCAGTAACATAGAATCGCAAGAGCTGGATAAAAGTTGGGCAATATCGGAGTGAATTCAATCATTGAGCAATGAAGAAGAAGTAGATAAGCTCAATCTGTGCTTCAATAGTGGAAGCAGCACGACATTTAAAAGGGAAAACCCGCAACAGCAAGTGAAAAATGTGAGTGCACAGTCGCTGAAAAAGAAAACTGAAAGTTGCCCATATGATTAATGAAAGAGAGAGTGGTTTTGCAATACCAGGGACTTGCTGATTGGTAGTTTTGTGATATACACGACACATTGAATGAGAAGTTGCATTAATTTTCGCGTTCCAAACTCCACGGACTTAAGTAGCCTGTGCTTGGCATGGGGAGTGCTTGGGGAACGGGGTCGGGATGAGAGAGTGAGGGCTGGACCTCGTCTGCTGTTCGCTTTCAACAGCTCAGTATTATATTTTTTCTTTTTTTTGGCTTTTTCCCGTGAAAAAAAAGGAACAGAGGTAAAGAAGATTGCCTACCGATCAGTCCAATAGGTCCTAACCAGTTAGATCATAAGGCCTATAATTGTGTTTGTAGCACCTCTTGGGATTAGATATAGTTAAACTAGTATAACAACTAACTATTAAGTTCCAATTAGAATTTTAAGACTAAAACTCTCAACTTTAAGATGCGAATTAAAGTTGGTATCTCACTAGACCACCTTCCTTGGTGGTTAGATTAGTCGATATGACACCGTTCCACTTCCAATTGAAAAAAAAAACACCCAACACAACTTGCTTAAAAAAAACACACAATAAATTCTTAAGTTGTACAGGGATATCCCACATCGGATAGTCTTAGGGGTGTGTGTGTATATATGATAGCTATGACACTTCTACTTTTAAGGAGTTGTGTTGTAGTTTGTCTGTCTCAAAAATAACCATGTGTGCTTACCAGGGTGATCCTCTGTGGGCTCTGCTGCATCCCACTTTAGGCCTGTTTCAAAGTACGGGGAGGACTCTGGGCCTGGGTGGATCGATGGGTAGGGGCTATCCCACATCAGATAGCCTTAGGGGTGTGTGTGAATGTATGACGGCTATGACACTTCTCCTTTTAAGGAATTGTATTATAGTTTGTCTGTATCAAAAACTCTTAAGTTGTACGGTAAAAATTTTTCCCCTAGAATCATCTTTTTACAACTTTCTTCATTTCTATTAGTTGAGTTTGAGTGTTTGGTGGATGGCAATGGTATTGTTACCCATAATATACTTGAAGTGGTAGGATATTAATTTGATACATTTGAAGCCATTGAGTGTGACAATAATGAAGTAAACCAAAAAAAAAAAAATTACATATCATATTTTTCTAATAGAAGAAAAGTGGATGTATGATAGTAATTTAACACTTGGAAACAGAAGTGTAGAGCGTAGTATATGAGTACCTAATATACATCCATAGCCCCAAACACATTTCCATAACCTAGCACCATGAGAAGTGGAAAAGGGCCGATGCACCAAAATTAATTAAGACATATACAACCAATCGTTTGCAATATAAAAATGAATGTCCAACTTACCACATCTACTTCTCAAATAAGTGGCATATTAGGTGGAAATATAAGAAATGAGATTAATCACCCGTTTAAAACAGAAAACATGATAAGCAATGATGTTTACTAACCATTTGCATAATCTTATTCCTTGCCCTGTCACTGAACAGTATATCCACCTTGGTGTTCAATGAAATTTGTCATTCAAATGGGGGTTCTTTCATGATTTCTTTCTCTTAATCACTTAATGCGCAAATTTTTTCTTTTCCTCTATTACTGGTTGAGTTTCATGTTTCCAATTTTTTTTATACCCAGGAAAAGGAAAACAACAGCAAATAATTATTCAATTGTACTGGAGGTTGTGTGAATTTTTCCAAGGGAATGCAAAAGAAAAAAGAACTAAACACTCATTTCACGCATTTTTTTTGTGCGTGTGTCGTCCCCAAAGTCTAAAGGAAAAAAATAAAGTGCAACTTGTTTTGACTAAAGGTAATATTATTGCACCATTGCTTAGTTTGATTAGTTCACCTTTCAATTGAATGGATTCACAAATTTTTGTTGCATTCATTACTTTTTAAATTTGGTAAAAAATTTTATAGTTAATTGCTTTGTTTTATTAACTAATTTTATAGGCATAGTTCTGATTTTTCTGAGCTCACCATATTCAGTTATGTGAGTATTTTTTTTTTATTTCTTGCTTCTGTTACTGGTATTGTCGAAACTATAACTCTGTCGTTTTTATGTCTCGAATCATTATTTTTTATAGATGGATCCGAACTAGGGGCGGAGGAAGGCACGGGCCAAGGTGGACAAATGCCCCCCCTAAAAAAAAAATATTAGTTAGGTTTATATATTGTATATTTATATAAAATTATTTGTGCCCACCCAAAACTCAAGATAAAAATATTAGGCCCACATTATTTACCCAAAAGAATTAAAAAATTAAGCCCATTTAATATAAAAAAATTTGAGTCCACTATTATCTACCCAAACTTATTAAAAAAATCAAATCTTTGACCTATCATAATCTACCAAAATCTATTAACAAATAAAATTTTTGGCCCAACATTAAAAATAAAACTTTTGGCCCACCAACCATTTAAAAAACAAATCTTTTAGCCCACTTGACTAAAACATATCTTATCTAGTATCTTTTTTTTTTTCCTGTCTGTCTTAGTCACTCCTGCCTACCCAACCAGAAGAAACAGAGAGTAAAACTCACCCCTAATATTTAGACATATTTATTTGTGCTTACCCCTAATATTGTGTTTTGGTTATATCGATTTGAATAGATCCCTACTTAAATGATTGTTAATTTTTTAAACAATGTTATTGAAACTTAATTTAAAAATCTAGTACATTGTGATATTAAGTATAATAGTGAGTTTTAATATTTAATAAACTCTACTATCTATCCAATGATCACAAACCATTGAGTCTCTATCAATTAAATCTCAAACTAATATTATTGTTAACTTTTAGACATGTTTTAGATATGTCCAAATATGTTTTAAAATATTAATGTTATTTTATAATTTTTTTTAAAATTGTATAGTTATTTCATTATAAAAATATATGTCGCTATATAGTAAATTATAAGATCATAAATCGAAGATTGTTACCGCGATTTTATATATAAAAGAA